AATTCTGACTCCTACCAATTCGTGAATTAGCGCGACTAGCAACCAATGTCATTGGTGGGAAATCCATCCTCCCACTTGACTCGTTGGACCTCACTGGTGACGACTTTTCACTAGAACTCCAGGAAACACCATCCTGTAGCAAATCACTAGCGAGCATCAGATTAATTTTCGAACCCTGGCAGTAGGTGTGTACTGCCGATGATTCCCAAACTAGGCTGATGAAACAGCTGTCCAGTACTCCTTGTGTCTGGTTTTCAATGGTTCTCCAACTGATATCAATCCGTGGTCACACTCGTGTAAACAAATTCAATCCTTACAAACCAACTCTTTAAAATCTATTTGCCAACTCACATATTTGTGAAGAGGTGTAACTACGGCTACACAAACTTTATATAAGAAGCTTGTCTTATTGTTACTTCTAGTTTCATCTTTGATGGATGGGGTTTTACAAATCAAATTGGACAAAATCCCATTAGGATAAGAATAATCAGTAAAACGCCTTTGTATTGCTATCCTAACTGGGATTTACAACCTTTAGATCAGATCATAGATCCATAAAAACGACATGCATTGACTTTTTAAACATTGTTGAATTAACGTATTCCTTATAAATCTTAATAATTTTTCTCCCGAACTATTCAGATGTCAAGTTTATCGAAAGACTGTAATAAATACTTTCACACAAAGAATCTATATGAAGTTTTAGAAGTGGCTAAAGACTGTTCGAAAGCCGAACGTAAGTAGACTTCATGCCTAAAATATTCCATCCTATTTTTTATAGTTCGTAAAGCTTTCTACAAATTGTCTCTTGTTCATCATCCTGATCGTCATGACAACGACTCGAAATCGGAAGCAACGAAAAAATTTCAAGTATTGTCTAGAATCTACTCCTACTTAGATGATGATGAGAAACGCAAAATTTACGATGAAACAGGTTAGTTAATTCCCGCGAGCTGATTTTTATTATCGTTAATTTTTTTTCTTCAAGGTGTAATCGATGAAGAAGATGAGATTGCTGGCAAATCCTATGATGATTGGTTGGATTATTGGCGACTTTTGTTCCCTAGAATAACACCCACACAGATTGATGAATACCATCAGAAGTATGTGGGAAGTGAAGAAGAAACTGAGGAGTTGATCAAAATTTACAATAGTTCTAAAGGAGATATGGATACTATAATGGAATCCTTAATACTGGTAAATTATGAAGATGAACCGAGAATCCGTAGCCTCATTGACAAACTGATCTCTGATCAGAGAATTAAAGCCTTCAAGAATTATACACATGAACCACCGGAGAAGGCAGCAAAAAGAGCGAAGAGAGCCTTACAGGAAAAGAAGTTGTTTGAAAAACAACAGAAGAGTAATAAGAATAAGAAACTGAAGAAGAGTAACGATGATGATACTGACGGCTTAGATTCACTGGCCAAGGCGATTCAAAGTCGACATGCGAATGCATTACAGTCGTCAGAGAATTTTCTAGATAAGATTGCAGAGAAATACGCTGCAATACATTCGTCGTCTGCTGCTGCTAAGAAGCAAAAACGCAAGACAACTACGACGACTACCAGTGCTACTGCTGCTGCTAAGAAGAAGAAAAAATAAGCATCAATTCATCTTTGGTAAAAAAAATTCTATTTTCCTCAATCGATCAATCAATCAATATTTCTGATAAGAAGAGATCCCACATGTATATACACTCAGTTTTATGTACTTTGTTGGCTTTCAACCTTCTGTCAAAGAAAGAAATGAAAAAAAAACAATAAACAAAGATTTATAACTGTCTTAAACATTATAATATGAAATGTATGTATATACCCCCTTTATATACGTTTTCTTAATATTTAATGAATGTGTTATCTTTTGGGTGTCACACTTGTCAGGAGACAGTTCCATTCAAGGTGTATAGAATTGCTTAAATATGTACACACACAGCTTAAGGTTTCGCTGTTCTGGCCAACAAGTAGTCTGTATCAGATGCGTAATAGTGGTAGGTAAATGGAAAGTATCAGCTGTTATTTAAATTAGATTAGCTGTCTTTGATCATAGGTGCCTCCGTTCTATCTCCCGTGTGAAGTGGTATAATAAGGTGAGCAATACTGAGGTTAGGCATCGAGTGCTAGGGAAATCAATCGACGAGGCTGTGAAGTTACATCGACTGAGATGGTTAGGACATGTGTTACGTATGCCTAGTCATCGCCTTCCTCGACGGTCAATGTTAGCTGACCTAGGGTCAGGCTAGAAAAGAGATGGCGGCGGTAAAACCAAAACATGGCACCAGTCAACGAAATCCGCGACAGTTAGTTTAAGCCAGCCACGTAGGATGGTGCAGACTTCCTGATTGGGGTCCTCGGGACGGTAAAAACGAATGAAGGCTGGAGACAATCGGTGATATGGCTCAAAATCGTTCTCAATGGCTGCTTCAGATGCATCCACTCCTTGTGACTTATAATGCCCAATGAAACTGTTTTGTTCTTCGTTATTACTACTCCTTTGTCTCACACCTCTGTTTACTGTCTATATTATGCATTTCTTCTACTTTCTTCTCTTGCTTTTTGTGCTACATGGAGTGTGGCGACTCGAACTGCTGCACATCGGTGCAAAGTTCTATGCCGAAAACAGACAGACAGAAATTAGATTATCAAAGGTAAAGTTCACTGACTTATATATTCTATTACCATTAAAACTCATAGGTTTAAACTTATTCTGGAAGTAATTTGGTGGATGGGGTCTAGCAGTGGAATCCAGGATTCGCATTTGGGGCTCATCGCCATCATCATCTGAATGTACCTACCTACATTCCCCAGTGAGTAATGGTGTTTCTACTGAAACTCACTCGAACTCCAGTACCCATCGTTTCAAACGTCAAAGCGTGGATAACCACTAGACCACCGCCTCTTGTGCAATGAGTGTCAGTTACTTATTTGATTTTAATTCAGTGTGGACTTTCTCGTTGATTGATTGGACCGACGTGTCCGGCCTCTATTGTTATGTTGACTTGCTTGTGAGGAAGCTTCGACGATGTCCACCAAATTAATTCAAGTCCAATCTTCAGACATTGTCGAAGCATCTTCCCAATCAACGGGCGAGGCCAAATTGAGTTAAATCAGACGTATTCTACCTACTTCACTTCAAAGTTCCATAGCCTAGTGAATATAAATGAGTCACATTTCTAAGCTGCACTATTATTATGATTATTATTTTGCACACACAACACTGAGCATCAGAAATCAATTGGTTTCCACAATTAATTGTACTATGCGTGCTCGGGAGGGAGCGAAGATTTCAGTAAAAGGCCGAAACAGACCCTCTGAAATAAATTAACCTTCACCAGAGCATTAAGTTAGTTTGAAAGTGTTCTGTGCGAATTTACACAGTGGGTATACTCAAATGCAAAATATTTAACATAAAAGTATGTTTAAAAAAATCGCATACAAATTAAAGCAGAAAGTTATTAATTAAACCTGAACTGGTATCCACATTATTGGACTATTGTTAGACCAAAGATGACTGGCGACAGTCAACCTGGGTTTTGTGCTTGTTGGCACTCACCACCAGTCAACAAGGCGTACCTGCAATCATGAAAGAATTCATGTCCCTCCCACACCACCTAGCGACGCAGTCAGAGAAGTTGCCACTCAGCTATTCCGACCCACGATCGACCTCATTTAGTTAGTAAATAGTATCATACGTCTAGTCCTTTATTTGGTGCAGACTCAATTCTAACAGTCAAGTTTGCGATGTGTCAACACCCCGGTTCACTGTGAATTGTTATTATTAGGTAGTTGGATGTAATCGGCAGGAAGCCTTCGACCTAGGTTTCGTGCTTGTTGGCACTCGTCACCAAGGCGCATTGATAAACTTGAAGGAATTTATATCCCTCTTCGGATTTCAGCCACCAAGCATGATGGTGGCCACAGTGCAAACGTGACTGTCTGTCTATCTATTTCCAACATAGAACTTTGCACCGATGTGTAGCAGTTGAAGTCGCCACACTCCATGTAGCACACAAAGCAAGAGAAGAAATGCAGAATAGAGACATTAGACAGCGATATGAGACAAAAGGAATAGTAATATCGAAGAACAATATAGTTTCATTGGTTATTATAAGTCACAAGGAGTGGATGCATCTGCACCAGCTACTGAGAACGATTTTGAGCCATATCACCGATTGTCTCCAGCCTTCATTCGTTTTTACCGTCCCGAGGACCCCAACCAGTCAGGAAGTCTACATCTTCCTACGTGGCTGACTGGCTTAAACTAACTGTTGTGGACTTCACTGACTGGTGTCGTTTTCTTTTGACCGCCGCTAGCTCTTTTCCACCCTGACCCTATGTCAGCAAACATTGCCCGTCGAGGAAGGCGATGGCTAGGCAGGCATATGTAATACATGTCCTAACCATCTCAATCGATGTAACTTCACATCTTCGTCTATTGATTTCCCCTCCTAACCTCAGTATTGCTCAACTTGTTACACCATTTCACACGGGAGATAGAACGCAGGCACCTATGATCAAAGACAGTTAACCAGGCTTTTCATCTCTACCACTCTCAATGTCATGTCTCACAGTAATAAAGGAGGACGGAGCGGACTGCTGAGCAGTACATCCGCCCTTTGGTCTATAGTCACCCGGATATCACGTCTACGCCAGAGACGGCGTAAACTGGCATATGCGAAACTAGCCCTCTGTATCCGTGCTGAGATTTCGTCAGCGATCAACCCTCTGGCGTTGGCTGATGCAACTTCCCAAATAAATGAAGCGGTCAACGTGCTCTACCACTTCACTCCCTATTTCTAAGCTAGGAGTCAATGTAGTCCAGTCCTGTAGCCAAATCATCTTACATTTGGCGGGAGCGAATCGCATGCCAAACATTAGCAGATTATAGCTCAAGGTGTTCAGAAGACTGCTGTAATTTGTCAGCGTCTTCATCCAGGTAGGAGGATTATATCATCTGCATATTCCAAGTCAACGAGATTATTATTCACTGGCAAACGTGACTGACAAAATTCAATCTCCACCAAGCAAAGGACTAGATGTGTGGTACTAGTGTCCAATCAGAATAACTGAAGTGTTTTCAAATCATTTTTATGCACAGATTGATCTCCGAATTGTAACCATTTGAAAGGAAACAGCTTAATGGAATATTTATCAAAACATTCCTTTTTCTAATCACCAGCAGGAATGCCAATGTCTTTGCCACATAACAGAAGTTACGTCTCCAACCAATATGGAGTGGGAGAGATCCGTAAATTTATTAAGTAACAAATGTATTGCACTCTGTTATGAAAATGTCACATACGACCAAGTATAAAATAATTTACAAACTTACAGCTTGAATGAAATCTATTATCTTATTGGGATCAGATCCTGAAGCGATATCGATTAGGTCAATTGGTAAACTATACTGGTTGGTTGTATTTGGACGAATTGTCTTGTCATTTTGGTAGCGAAATATAGGAGTGGTATCCTATTTGAAGTAATATGAATGAAATTGTTTAAAATGTGGAATTAGCATGTTTCTTATTTAAGCTAATCTTCTTGAAAGTTCACATGAACATGTCACTCTAGTTCTCAGGCAGATTGTTCCAAAATGTGAATAACTTTTTATTGGAAATTAGTCAGTCAGTCAGCCCTCCTAATCTCAAATGGTCTTAAGCTCTAAATTCCTTCAAAAATGTCAGGTTGTTAATTTCACTTTTAGACACCGGTGCGACTTACAAGAAGTGGTTTGTTCGCATGGTTCCACTATCATTGATAGTACAGAAGTTGAAACTGGGTAGAATGTTTAAATACATACCTTGAATTGTGTATTTCCTCTGGTCTTCACACACCATGTTATCCTCTTGAATGATATTTCGTTTAACCTTCTACGTTAGGAAGCACTAAGACAATCTGCTATCACTCCAAAGCCTCAGGATGGTCGGGGGTGGGTGCCTTGCGCTGCGGGTTGGCCACCCTTCCGCACACCTCTTGAAATGTTCCTATATGACCGTGCGTCTTACATAGCCTCTCCTGAGGAAGTCCTACTCACTGCCTTCACGTGGCGGAGGTATTTTTCACCAAAGTGAGAGGGCGAAAGCGGATGCCCGGCGCTCTTCACCGGGTTGACTGTCCATTGGATGACAGTCTAGGGGAGATGGCTAAACTCTGATTCCAAACCTCCAACCACTGGCAGACGTATGGACAAAGGGCTTGTTGGATGTCCTGGATGTCTGGCCCCATTCAAAAAGGCGTATGAACCGAACTCCGGTCACCGGCTGCCAATGGATAGTGGACTCCCTACTCCACTCCTACTGCCTTGTAGATCACCCTGGGTTGTGTAAAGGCTAGAGCTGCACTCTCAAACAAAAGGCCGAGCGATTCTGGGGACATCACTCGTACCAAATTCGTAAACTCTCTTCATCAGATCGCCGCGCCTGGGCAGCGATGATTCGAGATGTTCATGAAGCCGGCTCATCCCTCCGTAGGAGATAGCCGAAGTAAAGTAAGTACTCACTCAGTCTATACTTCCTAATTTTGTTAATTCTTGTATTCTAAGTGTTCTTCTCAATTGCTCTCCCACTATAATCTCTCCTCGGCTACTTAAGAAGAACTTTATTACAATACGAAAGGCACTGAAAGCTGCCAGCCAACCCGTTAATACTGTTGCATACGGACTCATGCAAGAAATTCGCGAATGTTGTCCTGTAAAACTTTGAACATCCTCTCTTTACACAACTCTCTCTCTCGGTGCATCTCGTCAGGTAAAACTAGAAGCAAGTATGGAAAACTCTATGCTCGGAAAACTAAATATAAATTAGATACAGTACTATACTATATGTTGAAAGTGCCATAAATGTGACAAAAGTACTGTTTGGAATTAGGCTATTATTATTATTATTATTAACGCAAACCTAACTTGAATTCAGTAAGGACTATATAAATATAATCTATTCAACTTGGTGTACTTAGAACACTTTGACATTAAAAATGTAATACTACGTCCATTAGTAAAATATTATTATTCCCTTGCGTTCCGAGTGGAACATAGGGCTTCAACAACAAATCTCCACTTTGTTCTGTCTTCTGCCGTCCTCTTCAGCTGCTAGCTCCACGATTGACCAAACTCTCTCATCTTTTCCCCACACGATCTCCTTTATATCACCCTCGCACCAACGACCCACTCATCGCTTCCTATTTGGATTTTATTCGAGCAATGGCCCGGCAATCGATGTCATTCGGCGGTCTCCTCAATGTACGCCCGATCCATCTCCACTTTCTCTTACACATTTGGTGAACGATCGGCTCTCCCCTGTTGGTTTGTTCCCATAGTTTCTTGTTGTATCGCCTAGTTAACTAGCTCGCTAGTTTTCTAGCCGGTCCCAAGCCCAGGTAAAAAGGGGGGTTGGGCGTGGGGCTAGTAACCCCACACCACTAAATCTTTCAAACCGCTAGAGAAACTTCAACACACAGAAAATATATTAAAAATACAAGAACTTCAAATCACAACAATCTTATGGTTCACTCGAATCGGAAAGGAGAAATGACACAACTGGCTGGTGAAAGTCTTCGGGAAGCCAGTCATCAGCCAGCCGATGTGTCTTCTCTCGATGAAAGGAAAGCAAGAGTAAGAATGGGTACGTGAAATGTCCGTACAATGTACAAGACTGGGAAGGCTGCCTAGGTGGTAGCCAAAGAGATGCGAAGATATATAGCTTAGAAGTACTGGGTATCTGCGAAAGCAGATGGAATGAATGTGGATTGACAACATTGTCAACGGGAGAGTCAATAATCTACTCAGGTCACTCAGACGACAACCACGAACACACCGAGGGAGGGAGTGAGTGGCCATCATGATGTCACCATTAGTAAAATGAATTGATACGAAATAGTAAGTGAATTGTAATCGCTAATAATAACGCTATGAAAATACACATTTCTTCTTAGAAATTCCATTAACAACATAAACAGATAATGTGCTTTAGTGACACAGTAACATTTCCTACAAAACTGAGATATATTATTTTGATTGAATTTTAGATTTTCCCGTCGATTGATTGAACCGAAGTGCTCGGTCTCAGGTTGACAAATCGGCTTCTTGTGCAGATGCTTCGACGATGTCTGGGTATTTAATTTCTGTTTAATTGGTGGATGGTGACTAGCAGTGGAATCCAGGATGCGCATTTCGTCCTATTTGGGACTCGTCACTGGATATACCTGCGGGAAAATCTAAAATTAAATTAATATGACCCGTTGCACAAGAGGTGGCTCTCGTGGCCCAAGTGGTCTAGTGGATAACGCTTTGGCGTTTGAAACCATGGGCACTGGGTTCCAGCCTTGGTGGGAACATCATCACTCACTGAGAAATGCAGGTACATTCAGATGACGAGTCCCGAATAGGACGAAATGTGGCGAATCCTGGATTCCACTGCTACTCACCATCCACCAATTAAATACTAAGATATATTAGTTACACGAACTCACTTTTTCATGGATATCGTTGTCAAATTCAGACCACTGGAATAGAATTGAATCAGTTGGTGGACCGAATACATTAAAATCGATTATTTCAATATGCACTTGACCACTTTTCTAATTTGAACAAGGAGAAATCAAGAATTATGATCAATGAGCAAGTAGGTCAACACACACACACACATACCGATTGTTCCCTGTATAGATCAACTGTGTCTAGAATAGGTTAGAGTTAGAAATAACTGCAGTGATAAAAAAGAAATTTACAATTATCCAATTTGAAGTGATTTTTAATTTTTCGATTAAAGAATTCTATAAGATCATTCTTAATTTCTTCTTGATGTTCTTCTATGGACTTGAAGTATGCATCACATTTTCGTTGACATATACCTGAAAAAAAGTGGAAAAGTACAAAATTCAGTTTGAAATAATGGAGATTTGTAGCTCAGGTAGATGACATTGAATCAGTTGTGTTCTCTGAGCTGCTGGTTGATCTAAATTGCGAAGCTTTCGTCGTCCCCCTGCTGGACAACATCCAACTTCTGCGCAGGTTTTAACACACATATTTGTTACTCCTTTACGTTCTCAGTGGAACATAGGGCTTCAAGCTAGAATCTTGAAGTTTCGGTAGCAGTGGTGTTTATTTTTACGAGATGAAGTTGCTAGCCAGCCTCATGCCCAACCTTTCCTCTTTACCAGTCTTATTACTGGCTCAGCGAGGTAAAGGAGTGCTTCGGCCGGGAGTCGAACTCCGGACCACCTGCATGGCTGGTGAGCGTTCTACCGCTGTGTCACTGACGTGGAAGGTTTTAATATAAGATGAACTTATTTGAATTCTCCATGAATGATGTAATTGTATCTCCTGGCAACCATTGCCGTGACTGGTTGTTGTTAATTTACGTGTCTATTGATCACTTTTATTGACTTGGAATTTAAACTTTCTTCTCATATGATTTATTTTTTATTAGTTGGTAAATTTCATCTATATTAATGTGTTTATTAGTCACTGATTCGTTGAAGTACCAGACTTCTCGAAATTAACCGACATTACTTTTGGTGTAGCCTCTGTTCAAAATTTTTTTGCATTCTCCCAATAATTAAATTGGTGACTTTAATTGTCTACATGCATAAGTATGAAAGAATACATTACGTTATTGGATTGGGATTCGAAGGGGACATCCACTTTGACTGATGTAATGTTTATTGCAGTTCATACTATTTATTTTGTAAGTGATATTGGTTTCATTTTCTTTTTCTGTTGGACCTTTTGGTTTGCACACTGTCGAATGAAGTGATTGTGCTGGCTGTCTGGCTTGTGCTATATCTAATGTACGAATGGGTTCCCCATTAGGTCCAATCCTAGCTGATTTTTTCCTCGCTAAATTAGAGAATGGACCACTGAAAGGAGTAATTAATGACATGGATTTCTACTGTCGATATATGGATGATACATTTGTGGTTATGAAAGATGAGAATGATGCAATGAATATCCTCGACAAGTTTAATGATGCACATTCAGCAATAAACTTTACCATGGAGAAAGAAAGTAATGACAGTATCTCATTCCTAGACGTCTTCATGGCAAGGAAAGATGATGGCACACTAAGAAGGAGTGTGTATAGGAAACCTACAACAACAGGTCAGTACACTCATTTTTTGAGTTTTGTACCTTTGAAATATAAACGTAACCTGGTAAAGTGTTTGGTTCATAGAGCTAAGTTAATATGTTCAGACGACTGCCTCAATGAGGAGCTTAAGATTATTAAAGAATTACTTAGAAAAAATGGTTATCCAGATAAATTTATTGAGAAGAATATGAATTCAGCACCAAAGAGGGTCAGTATCGCTACAGTTTCAAAAAAGCCAATGTTCATAAAATTGCAGTTCCTCGGTGACAACATCAGTGAAATCATAACACAGCGCTTAAAGAATGCGGTTAAAAGAGCTTATTATGCAGCAGAAGTACGTTGTCTCTTCAAAACCACCCCTATTCTATGTTCGAGAAATAAGGACAAACTACCTAAATTTGCCTCTTCTATGTGTGTCTACCAATTTGACTGCAGCTGCGGAGCCAGCTACATTGGGCGTACAATTAGGCAGTTTCATCGTCGTATTTCTGAACATCATCCAGCGTGGTTAAGCAAGGGACAAATAGAATCTATTCGTAGTTCTATTTTAGCACACCTTGTTGATACTGAGCATAAGGTTGATGTGAATACTGCATTTAAAATTATTTATCGTATTCCAATTAATCTTAACTTTGCTCTAAGATTTCGTCTTTTACAGACAGCTGAAGCAATTGGAATCCACCAGAAGAAACCAAGCCTATGTGTACAGAAGAAATTTGTACAACCACTTTGCTTACCGTGGCCATCGTTACAAGACAGGACTACGTCGCCCCCCTCCCCCTATTAAATTATAATTGTCCAAATTATTTTTATTTTGACTTCTTCTTTAATCACGTGTTATTCTTGTAAAATTAATTTATTCTATCCATTTCTACCTTTTAATTGTGTATTAATTTTCTTCCTTAATTATCTACCCATTGACATTTTGACACTGGTTAATTATTGTTAACAAACATATCGCCACGTGTTTGGTAAATTGTTGTGTATTGTAAAAAATGCTATATATATTAGAGTAGAGCCATAGAAGAGGATCTAATTGAAAAGTAAATATTTCTTCGCTCAATCTTTCTGTTTTTTCAAATGTCTAAATGGGGATATTTTCTATAATGTATGAACTGCAATAAACATTAGATCGGTCAAAGTGGGCGTCCCCTTAGAATCCGAATCCAAGAACACAAATTGGCTGTATAAAAGACTTGATATACATTATTTCGTATCACTGTATGTTGATAATTACGGACATCAATTGGACGATTGGGAGAATATAGACATTTTAAATAAACGAAACAGTGAAACTGTAGTCAGGGAATTTCTAGAAGCCTGGCACTCAGATGAATAAGCATTAATTGACAAACACGCATTACTACAGACCAAATTTACTACCAGCTAATGAAAAGTAAATGACATGACAAAAGAGTTCAAATTCCAAGTCAATAAAAATGACCAGTAGAGATGTAAATTAACAACAACCGGTCACGACAGTCGTTATGAGGAGATACAATTCCATCATTCATGGGGAATTCAAATAAGTCCATTTTATACTAAAACCTGCACTGAATGACGCTGTTGTCTAGAAGGACGACGAAAGCTTCGCAACTAAACTACCAACCAGCTCAGAGAACACAACTAAAATTCAAAACTGAGTTTATACATATACATCTACGTAGAGCTTCAAGCTACAGCTTTGAAATTTCGATAGCAGTGAACTTATTTTTACGAGCTGATGTTGCTAGTGTTACACCCAACCTCCCCCGTCTTTACCGGGCTTGCAACCAGCTAAGCGAAGTTTACGAGTGCGTCGGTGGAGCATTGAAACCCGAACCACGTGGGGCGGCTGGCGAGCATTCTACCTCCACGCAACCGACACAGTATATGATATATATGCTCTTGGATAAATGTAAATATAAATCAACATACATTTGGAAACATCGATAAGGTCATTGGAGAAAACAAAGAATAACACCATTTTGTAGTATGAATATTCTAAGTAGGTTATTTTTGAATGTCAAACTGAATAATAGAGAGGTGATTCTGCCTGAGATAACTCTTTTGATATTGAGTTGAGAAAAAACGAACTCAGCAAAACATTGAATAATGAATTCAACCAGTAGTGCTTGCCAGCTAGCCGGGTCGAGGTGATTTGGACACCACCAGACTGGCGTTTCACTCATTTGGTGAAGAGATCGTCAGCGGTGTACCCGGTTTGCCTGTCTGTCTGTTTTCGACATAGAACTTTGCACATATGCGCGGCAGTTCAAGTCGCCACACTCCATGTAGCACACAAAGCAAGAGAAGAAAGTAGAAGAAATGCATATTAGAGACAGTAAATAGAGGTGTGAGACAAAGGAATACTAATAACGAAGAACAATATAGTTTAATTGGAAATTATAAGTCACAAGGAGTGGATGCATCTCCGCCAGCCATTGCGAACGATTTTGAGCCATATCACCGATTGGTTCTTACCGTCCCGAGGACCCCAACCAGTAAGGAAGTCTACACCTTCCTACGTGGCTTAAACTAACTGTTGTGGATTTCATTGACAGATGAGGCCATGTTTTCGTTTGACCGCCGCCAGCTCTTTTCTAGCCTGACCCTATGTCAGCTAACATTCCCCGTCGAGGAAGGCGATGGCTAGGCTACACATGCGTAACACATGTCCTAACCATCTTAGTCAATGTAACTTCATAACCTCGTCGACTGATTTCCCCTCCTTACCTAGCACTCAACCGACGCCTAACCTTTGTATTGCTTACCCTATTATACCACTTCACACGGGAGATAGAACGCAGGCATCTATGATCAAAGACGGCTAAGTGGCCTTTTTATGTCTTCCACTCTCAATGGCCATGTCTCACGTAACAGTGGTATTCAACGGAACACTGCAACTAGCATACTTGCGCTTACATTAATATAGCAACTGAATAGTCTAAACATACAGTTGGAATAACATAGATAAAAAAAATTACACAATAAAATGTAATAAATGAGTGATTAAATAAATTTAGCTAGTAATTGCACTCGTCCCTTTTGTGAATGTCATGTTTATCATTTAGTATCACTAGCTTGTTGATAATTTTAAAGGTCATAAAGTATATGCTAGGTGGGTTAAGCCCATTATTATTATTGTTCCATAGGGTTCCAAGTGGAACATAGGACTTCAACAGCACACCCCCACTTTGTTTTGTTCTCTTTGGTCCTCTTTAGCTAGCCCATAGTCTTTCATCTCCTCCATGTCACTCTCAGACCCACGCCAAACTCATTGTTTTCCATTTGGGTTACACTCGAGCGACTGACTAGCGCGCGATATCGTTCGACGGTTTCCTCAGTCCAATTCATCTCCATTTTCTTCACAGTATTTATTGAGCAATCGGTTCTTGGTTGGTTGGTTCCCATAGTTTCTTACTGCTAATTCTTTCTCGCTGGCCGGCCATTTGGTCTTCAGTATGAAGCCAGCGAAGGTGGCAGCTGTTGATAAAAGTCTGCACTAACCTGTTGAAAATGCTTTGCATGACGGACGCGCAGTACAAGCTTCTGACCTATATAGAAGAAGTGACTTAACATACGTATTGAAAATTCGAAATTCATTGTTTAGGCTGAGTGCAGAAGAGTCCCAAACTGATTTTAGGTTGATGAATGTCTACCTCCCCTTTCCGATTTTGGATTTGACATCATCTCACCCGCCCGCAGATGAAACTATGCTGCCTGGTGAGATAAGTGAGGGAAGTAACCACATTTAAGCTTCTCCAATTGATGCTAGTTGTTGTTATTACTGTTGATCATCTTCATCACCTCCATTGTACACTATGTATGCTGCTACTAGTGCGTTGGTGGCATAGCGGTTAGGACGCTCGCCAACCATGCACATGGTCCGGGGTTCGATCCTCGGCCGACGCACTCCTTTACCTCGCTAAGCCAGAAATAATGCTGGTGAAGAGGAAAGGTTGGGCATGGGGCTAGCAACCCCATCCTGTAAAATAAACACTGCTACAGAAACTTCAAGCCACTAACTTGAAACCCTATGTTCCACTGGGGAAAGTGAAGGAAAAAAATGCTGCTACCTTGACGTGGTGGTCTGACTTGAACACCGCAATGACCCAACAAGCTATTGTCTGTTTTTGACCACAGATGTTTACGATCTCTTTCTCGCGTTAGGTGGTATAATAAGGTAAGTAATGTTGACGTTAGGCGTAGAGTGTTGGGCAAAGAGGGAAAATCACTCGAAGAGGCTATGAAGTTACATAGATTGAGATGGTTAGGCCACGTGCTGCGCATGCCTAACCATCGTCTCCCCCGACGGGCATTACTAGCTGATATAGGTGCAGGTTGGAAAAGAGTAAGTGGTGGCCAAACAAAAACATGGCATCAATCCATGAAATCCCTGACAGTTAAACTGAGTCAGGTAGGGAGATGCAGACTTCCGGGTTGGGGCCCGCCCTCGGGATTCTAAGAATCAATGGCTAGAGACAATAGGTGACATGGCTCAAAATCGTTGTCAATGGCTTGCGCAGATGTATTCAGTCTCTTTAACCTTCATATTCCTTTCTACCATTACTCATTCTGTTTCACTCTTATACTTATCTGAATTCTATTGATTCTCTTCTCTCATTTTCCTGTCTACCTTTGTGTGCTATTTGGAACGTGGCAACTCGAACTGCTGCACTTCGGTGCCAAGTTCTATGTTGAATCCAGCAGCAGCAGCAGCAACAAGCTATACTGGCTGAGACTTATGTTGCTTGAGGTCCTACCATGCCAGAAAGGTTGTTTGGGTAGCGGTTAGACAAAAAGCAGCTACCCAACCCAATGCTATGACTCAAAGTAAATCACAAAATATCATGCCGGATCGGTCGGGGCCCGGATTAACAACGACCGCGCTTCCTGCTGCCGTGTCACAGGGCAGAAGTGATAAATATGCTACTGAGACACACAAAATGAAAAAGAACAAACAAAAACAGGCAGCGTTTCACCGGCCTCAAGCAGTTGTCCCCTGGGCTCTACGGTCACGCAACCAACTTCCACGGTGTGGGCAGCCGGGAAGTAACAATCGCCCTCACAAGCCGAAATGCACGCGACACCTATATACACGTGAAGTCCTTTCTTTGCCGCTTCACCTGCCTACAAGCCTTCCAGTTTGTACGACATCAGACAAATCATCCACGAAATTCAGATCCTCTAGAGTCTCCTTATCGATTCAGAGAATCCTTGTCTTTTCGTTTCCACAAATCTGGCGGATAATCCAGAAGCCTACTATTATTAACTAAACGAAATCAATGAACCCCAACACTGCGCGGCATACATACATACATACAAGCTAACAGTTGAATGAAGAACTTACTTACCTATGAGGACTTTCGATTTCACAAAACACCGGAATTCCCCTTCTGGACGAAAATCATACCACCTGCGAAGAACAAGAATCGGTTTAGAAGTGAAAAGGCAACAGGCTTCTTCAACTGTTGTGTCTGCACACAAAGCATAACTACATAAATTTAAATAAAAATCCTGTATTAGATTTCTACGCATATATACACATTACGGAGCAGTTAAATCATGTGCAGCAAAATCTGATGATTTGAGGAGTAAATAGATATCTGAAAATGTTCTACACTTTAGTGAATTGTCACATGACATCCAAGATGCATCCTGAAACAGAAAAGAAGAGAACAATTAACAAGGTATTATTACACCTACACTCGGAGCGCTCCAATTCAATTTAGGAAATACAACACCGCCTAACTTCTGGATGATATTTTTCAAATGAGATTCGAACTGGGGAAATTCAGGTCTCTAAATACAGTTTTTTTCTCCTCCCAATATTGTTTAGATGCTGATTACCTCTGTGCAAACACCATCACCATTTTCATTACTGTCAGCACAGTCTGACCAGTCCTCCTGAAATGATAAAAAAACATGAAAGTGAAATAAAAAAGTGTCCAAATTACTGTATTGAATGTTTGATGTAGGGATTTGATTATCTGTGTATTATGAAGCTTCTATTTTTAATATATTTATGCGTTGAAGTTCCTGTAGTAATTTGGTTAAGTTTTGGGGGTGGAGTTGCTAGCACCACGCCCCAACCCTCCCTATTTATCCAGGGACCGGCTAGAAAACTAGCGAGCTAGTAATCTAGGCGAGGTGAATTTTCAATACAAACGTCAAGTCAGTTCTTCTATACGGATCAGAAACTTGGTGGGTCACAAAGAATATTTCCAACACGTTGCAGACCTTTATCAACAATTGTCTTCGCGCTATACTGAAGATCAGATGGCCGGAAAGAATCACCAACAAGAAACTATGGGAAGAAACAAAACAAGAACCAATCGCTCAACAAATATGCAGGAGAAAGTGGAGATGAATTGGACACTCGCTGAGGAGGCCGCCGGGTGACATCGCGCGTCAGGCCATCGCTCGAGTGGAACCCGAAAGGGAAGCGACGAGTGGGACGTCCAAGGGTGACATGGAGGAGACTGTGTGGAGAGGAGTTGAAACAGTATGGACTAACATGGATTCAGGTGGAAAGTACGGCAGAAGATAGAAGCAAGTGGAGACGTGCAGTTGAAGCCTTATGTTCCACTAGGAACCCAAGGGAATAATAATAAAGCTTCTAAACAATATACATTTTAACGGCTCCTCAATTCATAATCACAACCTGAGCAGTTCACTGAACAAATGAAGATAAATATGAATTGCTAATAAAGTAAATGAGTGGGATATATGCGTCACTGTGACTGTGTTAATGCAGTATGGAGTTTTAGATTACGACAAGCTAAGAAAGGAGTATTGAATCCAGAGAAGATAAGAGCCTTAGTAATGGTCCTTTATTAAGGAAAATAACCCATCATACATATACATTCTTAGCTACATTAAAGTTCGCCTACGTCAGAAGAAAATAAATTGCTCTGATTGGTTGGTAACCGGTCAATGGTTAAACTAACTGTCCAATGAGGTTATTCCATGTCCACAACGTAAGCTAAAACCAAATTTGAGAAATAAACCCTTCTATCTTGACAGACATTTATTTAAAAATGTTGATTTCAGTTTTGGCCACTTCTTATCAATCTGCATCACGCTATAGTGTTGCTTTTACCACTACTGTTTGAAAGATATTCAGCCATGAGCGGCTATGATAACAGTCTGTCAAAAAGATAGACACCTATCATGGTGCATAAAAGTGTAGCCATGTACAGATACATTTTAATATATGTGTAAAACTTGGGCACTGTGGTTGTAAGTAATCCATATTAGTTTGTTTATTACAGTGAAACAGTATTATTTACTGGATGACATGATTTCGAACAAAATTTATTGTTCATAATCATATCAATTGTAATAACACGACTTTGAAACTTGAGTTTTATAGTTTTCTTTGTCTTCTCCTATTTGTCGTAGGGGTAGTAGAATTTTCCAGATATCTGGGACAGGTGTTGAATCATTCCTGTTACACGTATTTGCAGTTGATTCGATAAACAAAGCTTCTGTTATCAATCTCTCCCTTATCACTATCCATAGTGATAATAATAACAATAATGATAACAATAATAATGATAATAATAATAATATTAATGATGACACCAACAATAAGGAATCTAAATCATCAGTAGTAATTCCATACAAGGAAGGAACCTCGGAAACCTTACGCAGAATTCTTAACAAGGCAGGAATAAAAGTGGCTTGCATTCAAACCACCCACAAACTCAATTAGAAACAAGCTTTGTCGGTTAAAGAATCCTGCTTGTGGAGCGAATAAAACAAAACAATTTAGTTTATCTAATACCCTGCTGGAATGATTGTCAGGTCAGATACATGGGGGAAAGCAGTAGAGCAGTGGCAGTCATTCAGACCAGCAGAGCATAAAATCCTAGCAAAATCTAGATTAGTTGACTGAATAAGATAAGAAATGTACAGAATAGTTCAGCCATAGCACAACATGCAATCACACACAACCATGCAATAGGATGGGATAGGACGAAAGTTTTAAAATCTAATGTCACAGGGTGGAGGGAGAATGGAATGGGAATGATTCAACACCTGTCCACCCAGATATCTGGAAAATTCCACTACCCCAACAGTGACAAATAGGAGAAAACAAAGAAAACTACAAAACTCAAAGTCGTGTGATCACAACTGATATGATTATGAACAATAAATTTTGTTCGAAACGTCATCCAGTAAATAATACTGTTTCACTGTGATACATCTAATAAACAAACTAATATGGATGTACAGATGCAGATTAGCTTTGTCTAATGATGTTGGCTGAAAAACTTTTATCTGGTAACTAATCGTCTAATCAAAAGTTTCTTGGTAGATAGACAGACAGCACTTGTTTCATTAATAAGGATACTTTACAATTTGGTCATTTTTTCTGGACTCTCGAATTCTTTGCATTGGCTGTTTGCTGCGGTCACTTTTATCAGAGTGTAATGGGTTAGCATACTTAAATACTTGATGACATATATTTAGTCAACAGAGAAGATTTGTAGCTCAGGTGGATGATTTGCAATCAGTAGTGTTCTCTGAGCTGGTTAGTTTAGTTGCGGAGCTTTCGTCGTCCTCCTGCTGGACAACATCTTCAGCTCAAGTTTTAGCATAAAATAAACTGATTTAAATTTTCCACGAGTGATAGAATTGAGTCTGCCGGTAACCACCTTTACATATGTATTGATCATTTTCTATTGACTTGGATTTTAAAATTTCTCGTCACATGATTTACTCTTTATTGGTTGGTAGATTTGGTCAAAGACTACAAGAAAATTCATCCTACCATATCAGAAATATCTCTGAAATAACAGCTAGAATACTGAAACCGTTTGATATAGATATAGCACACAAACCAGTCAAATCGCTTAATTTGATATTATGCAAACCGAAAAATCCAACAGAAAAAGGAGATAAAATTAATACCATTTACAAAATAAATTGTATGAACTGTAACAGGCATTACATCGGCCAAAGTGGGCGTCCCCTTCGAATTAGAATCCAAGAACACAAATCAGCCGTGAAAAGACACGACACATATTCTTTAGTATCAATTCATATAGACAATTATGGACATCACTTTGATTGGGATTATGCTGAAATCTTAGACAGAGGAAACACCAAAAGTGTCAGGGAATTTCTAGAAGCCTGGTGCTCAAACGAATATGCGATTAACAAACATGTTAATATAGACGAAATATACCAACTAATAAAAAGTAAATCAGGTGACCAGAAAGTTTGAAATCCAAGTCAATAGAAAATGGTCAATACATATGTATAGATGGTTACCGGGAAGCGCTATTCTATTACTGATGGAAAATTTAAATCATTTCACTTTATGCTAAAAATCGCGCTGAAGATCTTGTCCAGCAGGGGGACAACGAAAGCTCCGCAACTAAAACCAACCAGCTCAGAGAACACTACTAATTGCAAATGTATTTAGTTACTCCAGTCGTTTTCAGTATAATTTTTGTGTGTTGAAGTTCCTCTAGCACCAATCACCATCAACGGGAGAGATTTAACAAAGGTTGCCTCTTTCACTTATCTGGGAAGCATCGTTTCAACTACAGGCGGAACGGATGAAGATGTCAAAGCCAGGTAGCATCAGAAATGCAGCATGCGCCTTCGTCAACCTGAAACCAGTTTGGAAATCTGCACTCTGTCTCAGCATAAAGGACAAAATTCGCTTTTTCAACACCAATGTGAAGTCAGTTAGTTCTTCTATATGGTTCAGAAACTTGGAGTGTCACGAAAAGGATTTCCAACAGCTTGCAGACTTTCATCAACAGCTGCCAACTTCGCTGGCTCCATACTGAAGATCAAATGGCCAGAAAGAATAAGCAACAAGAAACTCTGGGAACAAACCAACCAAGAGCTGACTGCTCAACAAATATGTAGGCGAAAATGGAGATAAATAGGGCATACACTGAGGAGGCCACTGAATGACATAGCACTCTAGGCCATTGCTCGAGTGGAATCCAAATGGGAAGCGACGAGTTGGTCGTCAGTGCGAGGGTAACATGGAGGAGATCGTGTGAGGAAGGGATGAGAGAGTTTGGTCAATCGTGAACCTAACTGAAGAGGGGGGCAGAAAACAGAAGAAAGTGGAGATGTGTCGTTGAAGCCCTATGTTCCACTCGTAACCCAAGGGAATAATAATAATATAATAATAGTCGTTTTCAATCCTGCAGGCGTTACTATAGTGCTGTTATCTATAAAAGTTTTAGTCAACTCTGTGATAACCTTGGAGTACATAATTATTAGAAGCGGTAAACTTGACAGATTGAAACCGGTAGTTTCATATCACCTTTTGCGTGTGCCAACCAAAAGTTCAGTCTATACCAAAAAATGCTAATGAATGACGGCAAATCTCTTTGACTTCGTGGTACACGTCATACAACTGGGATCAACTAAAGCACAGGTACACCGACTTACTGCGTTATACTAACTAGTGGGTACCTTCTCTGTGTGCAACATGATGGTACTACCTATTTCGAAAAAGTGTGATGTGATTGTATGTGTTTGAGATTCTTAAAGCAATAAAATAAAATTTCATTTTGTCAATTAAGTTAATAAAACACTTCTCATTACTTACATCGCTTGAATCCGATGGATACCTTGTTTCTTTCGCACTAGATATAAGAATAAATAAATAAATAAACGTGAGATTAAGTTTGTAAAATAAGATAGATAGATATATAGATAATAAAGACTAAAATATATCCGTTTCAAGGACACAAAGATATCATTCACAATGGTATATTTTAAATTATCCACTTGTTTTATACACATCTTCAATTCAATGGGTATGCGGAAGATTTAGAATACCAAAAGTTCGCTGAAGCAGCCACTGCGGCGCTTCAATGATTGCAGCTTGAATTCACAAGAAAAAGCGTGCCTAAACTAGCCCATACAATGATAAGAACAAATTTTTACAAAAGATTCATCGAGAACAGTAAAATTAGAACGCTATAAATGATTTGTAAAGCAACCGGTAGATCAATGTAAGACTTAGCGTAGGATGGCATCAGTTTAAGTTTTTTTCACGCTTTGGAGAAGCATCCAGAATACAGCAATACAAAATAGAACATCAAATTTCGGAAGTGATATTTTTACCATAGTTACTTGTAGAAGACCAGTGTACCTAAATCATAATGTGATCCGCTTGATACTGTAAACAACATGAAGAGCCAGCGGAAAAATATCATGCCACACACACTAAAAGTTAATATAAGTAGTTGAAAGCCAGCCGCGAACCAGAAATAAGTAAGCAGTTCTAGTTCAGTATCCCAAGTTAATTAAATTTGAGTATAGTGCTGACATCGACCTCTGTAAGGACGAGACGACCATCTGACAACAAAGTTGCCTCTATTTGGCTGTCATGACTACTAGTATATATCGGTTGAGTTGCACAGAACCTAAAAGTTGGATAAGGTATTCAATAGGCAACGTGTCATCATTGCTAAATGTACCCTACAGTACTTTCATCGCCAACTGTATACTACTAGCATTTTTGCAGTGCTTCCTTCTAAGCTAATCAAAGCACGGATAATTTTATTTATCAATTTGCACAGTGATATGATATATGCAGGCTTTTAAAATAACTCCAATAGGGTCAACTTATATGAAGATGTACAGTGATATTTAGTAGTCCTAAATCCTGAGGGCAGCCACAGAGAATAATTTAAGATGGTAATGAAAATGAAATGCCTATTATCAGAAATAGGATATCTAATTAATGAAGAGATTTTTACTTTGAATTAAATATTGATCACTCACCTTTTTGGTAGAATAAACTCATCATTTGTTAGGGAGTTTATAAGATCTTCTGGAAGGTCAACAAATACACTAGGAAGGGGGCCATCACAGCAGTACTAATTCAACATACCTTTCTTGTGTATAATTTTTGAAAGTATGATACCACGAGTTGAAAGCACATTGTTTGACATCTTCTGTTTTCATTAGAAAATGTAACAACCTTGAGCAAAACCAAAATATAGTGAAACGTACCATGGTTAAGGAAAGTAGCGGACGGTCAAATTATAGTGAGAACAATGAAAATATTTTTCCGCATATATACATATATATATATCACAGTAGCAGAAACTGGACTGACGCACTGTAAATACATATTTGCTAGGAAAATAACATGAAACAAAGCTTTTTTCTGCATATGGATTAGCGGAGCGTTTGTTAAGAATTAGGAAGATTACAAGGAATATTATCGAAGGTAAAAGGTATGTAGGAAAATAGTTAATCAAAAACCTAAAAGTAGACGACCTTCCACACTAAGGGTTTTCAGATTCATTGTTCTCCATCTGCTTCGCAATTACTCTTCAACGCTACTTGTATAAATCTCTGGATGTTTCTAAAAGAAGTTTTTATAGAGGAATTCCTCTATAAAACTTGCTTAAGCAAACAGTTCACAGCAGTTGCTTTCGATACACAATCACATCTGAAGGTAGAATGGATAACAATTACAACACTGTACAAATCAATGGATTCCTTATAAAATAAACCATCTTTCAACTAAGTTATGATTTACGCGGAACAGTTGTAGGATGGATGAAGCGCTACGACAAGTGAGTTTTGGAGGACGAATAAACTTTAGCAAGGTACCTAATGGAGCTGTAATACGACTCATCTTACTTTTTCTTTGCATTAATAAGTCACACACGTTCACTAGTATAATAAGTAACATGTGCATACATTACTTCTGATACTGACACATGATGTAAAGTTATAAAAGGTTGATAATAACAGTGTGCTAAACAATCCCAGCAAAAAACTAAAAGAACGGACTAAATAGAGTAATTAGACTATGTTTTCAAAAATCAATTACGGAAAAATGAACCAGAGTTATTTGAAACTTTTCTACCATTAATTTGCAAGCCACTGTGTCTAAAACTGAAAAATTTTGAATGCCTTGTTAAATTTGAAAGGCAGTTTTGCGTATTGCACATAAAAGGTCATAACAACGAAAGGTCTTTCCTCAAATAAAGAACAATCAGTAACTCACGCCTTTGTAAGACAGTCGACCTTGAGCTCTAACTACGCGGCAAGAGTAAACAATATACACCTAAATTAAATGACCTTAATTTGACCAATCAGATAGCTCAGCATTACAACTGGTTCCTAGTCATAATCCTCTTTGAAAGAGTCGCCTAGATTTGGTTTTTGACTTCTCTGTAGATAATGTGTTGATAGGGAGGAATAAAACATGCATGTGTGGAGGGATAATAACTCTGGAAAAGTATTGCCGGGCTATTGATGGTTATGCATTCAAATGCAACCACGTTATATGAGGAAGTCTGTATAAGTTGGTAAGTCGTATATAACTGGTGATTTTTTAGACACTTTCTTCTCGAAACCAAACTCTCCCTTAGTAATATATTGCGTATATGCAACCAGTATCCGCTACAGCTGGAGAAATAGAGAATACATTGGTTTGATATGTCTATAAAAACTTCTGTGAGAATCTGGGGCCAGTTTTCGCAGCATGTTAGAGATATATACACATATATATATATATACATATATTATAGATACACTTCTTTGTAAATTAAGTACCACTTTTCACCTAGAAGAATCTCATTGACTGTTTCAAGGTCGTGTGAAGTTGGTGTCTATTCTTTACTGTTGCCAACTACGCTTCCACACCGGTTATACTTGCAATTCCTGCCATAGCTACCCCAGACACAGAGGCCGAAGCAGCAAGGGTATCTGTCGCTGGGAAAAGACCCTTATCGTCCACCAGTAATAGTGGCCACGGCACTGTGACACACAGTAATACCCAGTCTCACCAGACGAAGCAAAACGGTCTTAAAGGGGATGACAAGTGTGCGAGGACCGAACCTAAATCCACGGTTAGTAGATCAAACTGTGTAATCCTCCTTAATGTACCAGACTGTAGCAGTAGTCTGCTGGAAAACAGGGCCCTGTTTGATCAGGAACAGTGGTCCAACTTATGTAGCACATTGGGTCTGGACATCCAACCAGTAAAACTGTGCAGATTGTATAGGGGCATTGCTGCTCCTCAAGGCAAACCATCCCCACTGAGGGTAACACTAGGCTCTGCCGAAGATGCCGAAAAAGTCTTATTGACTTCCCAAGTCCTTTCTATAGGGAGGACCTGCAATATACGTGTTAGGCCAGATAGGCCATGGAAGGAAAGACAGATGGCGAGGGAGTCGCCATGGCTTATTCCTTCTGCCTCCATGGTTGTCCACGGCATTCCCGAACTGGTAACTGGGAACGCTTGTGAGAAGCACTGTCACGATGTACAGCAATGGAGATGGTTGGCATCCCAGATGGCTCTGGGAAGTTCAGGGGCTGTCTCTATTTATAGACTGCCTCGACCCACTCACCTAATGTCAATTAACACTCCACGTCTGTTAGCTGTTAAGTTCAGCTCCCGAGACCACTTGACTACTGCTCTCCAGAGATGGTACGAGACCAAGGACAAGGTCAGCAGACACATTCGCTGCTGCGAGAGCCGGCCTCGTACCCAAAGGAGAGAACAAAACGTTGTCATAGAACATCCCCAACCCCCAGTCACAATACAGCGGTGCAGCACGGACGATGATAGCCAGTGTCATCCAAGTGCTCCGATTGAATCAGAAGAAAAAAACGCCAACAGGCCGGTTCCCGGGGAATCGGCCAACTAGTTCGTAGGATAACTCCTCAACCGACAGCCCACATCACGTCAACCACCCCCAAATACGGGAACGTGGTGAGACTGACTACCAGTTGCTTGTACAGTAATGTGAGAGGTCTAAGAGGCAAAATAGCTGAACTTAGATACCTACAATCACAGCTGGACTCCAAAATCATAATACTGACGGAAACCTGGCTAACCCCTACGGTGGCAGACAGCGAAGTCAGTATTAATGATATGGTCCTTGTCAGGCGAGATAGGGATCTGAAAGAAGGAGGTGGAGTCGCCATATACGTCGAAAAACAGCTCAGATGTGTCCATGCAATCGACCCTCCCCACATTGAGCTCCCTGACTCCATATGGTGCCATTTCACCGTTGGGTACTGTAAATATCTAGTGGGCAGCATTTACAGATCACCTTCATGTGGAGCAGACCACAACCAGGTACTGCTGAATGCAATTTCAGCGACACATGACATGGGTTATGATCAAATTGTCATAGCTGGAGACTTCAATGCTCCATCTCTTAACTTGATGACGGGATGTGCCCAGGACAGATTTGATCGAAATCTGCTGCATACCATCACGGAGGCCGGATTCACCGAAAATGTCAGAATGGATACTAGATGGGGCCCAGATGGGAAGTCTTCTAGACTGGATTACGTGCTCACTAGTGACCAGCTACTAGTGGAAAACGTTCAGATCACGACTCCCATAGGTAGTAGTGACCACGCGGTCATAACATTCGACATAGTCCTCCGCGAGCGTTTACAGTGGGACAATACACAGCCCTATCTGTGTTATAACAAAGCCAATTACACCGAAATGCGAAGACTTTTGTCTGAAGCAAATTGGCCAAAAAATTGGACAGAGCTTACAGTAGAAGAACACTGGAGAGTGGTAAAGGAGATCATTCACCAGGCGATCTCAGACACTGTTCCCTTGGTCACACCTAAAGCTAGAAAGCAACGTTCATGGCTAAAAAGGGGGACACAACGCCTTCTACAGGCGAAGCGAAAAGCCTGGTTTGCGTGGCGAGTATCGAAGAGTCAACCCGAACATGAAGTGTACCTCGAACTCAGGAATCGGTGTAACATACGAGTCCGGAGTGATAGAAGGACATTTCAGAGAAACCTCGCCAATAAGCTTCTCGTGAACCCCAAAAGCCTATACAGGTTTATGTCTGAAAGAAAACCGACCAACCAGGGAGCTTGCAATATAGTAGGTTCTGATGGGAAATCTCTTACTAGTCTTGAAATGGCAGAGACATTCAGTCTAGCCTTTCACAGGCAACTGAACAATAATGAGGATTTTACCCCCACGAAACATCAAGATTACAATGCAAGACCAACGTGCGAAAACCTTCTGGGTACATTTGAAATTACTCCGGCTATGGTACTCGTAAAATTGGGAAAGTTGGCTCCGGGAAAGTCTGCAGGTTGCGATGACATAAGACCATCCGTCCTGAAGCAGTGTTCAGAAAGTCTCTGCCAACCCCTAAGTGATCTGTTTCAACACTCCTTTGATGTAGGGAAACTTCCATTTGAATGGAAACGAGCCATCCTATCCCCTATCTTCAAGAGTGGTGACCGGCAGAACGCGACCAGTTACAGACCAGTTGCGCTACTTCCAGTGATATCGAAGATATTGGAAAGTCTCATTGACGACCACATGAGAAAATACTTCGATGGGACTAATCTACTCCATGAAGCACAGCACGGCTTCAGGAGGGGAAGATCCTGTGTGGCGAATCTTCTAATAGCTTGGAACGACTGGACATTATCCCGGGATGTAAAGGTACCAGTCCATGTGATCTTTCTCGACTTTGCGAAAGCATTCGACACAGTTCACCATGGTATGCTCTTTCACAAAATAAGCAAGGCGGGTGTTTCTGGAGCACTTCTCGCATGGCTGAAAGATTACTTAGGCGAGAGAGAATTCTGCACCAAAGTCAACCGCATCCGATCATCCTGGCACACCTCGGCATCAGGGGTTCCTCAGGGTTCTATCTTGGGGCTGTTGATGTTTTTGATTTTTATCAATGACCTGCCCTGTCAACTGAATTGCTCTGCGCTTCTTTACGCTGACGACGTAAAGATTTGGAGAGCAATAAACTCATCGGAAGACTCCGACAGATTGCAGGCTGACCTGCAAACTCTGGGAGACTGGGCTTTGGCTAACGGAAT